AGCCATGCGTTATTGCGATTTTATAACTGTAAGGGAGTTTTTCCGCTTCGCATCGTGCCTAACAACCCCCTTCACCGTGATAAAATCACTAACACACAGCCTCTCTTGGCTTATTGCTTTATTAATACCCTACATTTCAGAAGAAACACTGGATCCAGGAGTGTGAATGCTGTGGGATGTATACCGTATCTGTTGTTGAGATGCTGTCTGGAACACAGGAGCTCCTCCTCACCTGCAGCTCTCAGCAGGACACATATTTCCATTTGTTTTTTCAAATGATGCAACGCTCAACTGTCTTGCAGCCCCCTCAGTTCTGATCACCTATAGAGACCCATCACTAGTTCATGGGTTTGTTTTCAGGATTATCTGCACCGCGCAGGCCGATCGTGTTATTGCTGCTGACGTCCCGTCTGCTGCGGTTATTACTCCGAAACGTGCTTTCCGCAAGCGTAGCCATCCAGCCGTGCAGCTGCGCTTTGACTTCCATAACCTCTGATTGCTTGAAAGCAGGCTGGGGCGAATTGCATTGCGCTAAAATTGCATCAGAAGTCAGCGCTCTGGCGCACAGGTGGGTAACGGTGGGTCTCATTAACCAATGTAGTGATTCCTCCTATACGCTAAAGCAGAACCTTCTGCTTCATTCATAGCAAAGAGTTCCTTATGTTCCTTTCTGAATTCCGCAGCTAGAAAAGGATCAGTTTGATGAAAATTGACAGCCATCCCCCACTGCCACCCCACCACAACACCCCCCGCCCCAAATGTAGCCGATCAGCCAAGACATGTTTGGTGTTTTTAAGTTGGCTTCTTTACTTTTACGCAGTTATGAGGTTAATATAGCTAACGAGTAATGTAAGCTTATGAACAGCCTGTTAGCATCTTGCTAACTGTAGGCCTAAATCATCACTCAAACTGTGTGATGTTCAGATTCTCTAATAGACTCTAATAGATTATGAGGTTCTGATGCTGTATGACTCACTGTTATCTATACAAACACCTACATCACTTAGCTAAAAACAGTAGGAGCAGCCGAAACTTTTGTCTTCTATTTTTTATTGATATTGCAATATGACCCAGATAGCAACCACGAAATGGTCTGTTGGCTTGATGAGGTCGGACTGTATGGCGCTGCCGGTCCACCCTCAAACCATCCAGATTATTGTCCCGGATACAGAGCCGGCTCTACCTAATAAGTGGCATAAGCGGCTGCTTAGGACCCCGCAGCCACCAATTTTTAGGTAATTACTGTAAGTTAGCATCATTTTTTACATTACTTACACTACTTGTGGTAGTCATTGTTATTAGTTAGTCTCTAATTGTACTGTACAGCAACTAGCAAGCTAACCTTTTTGCTAATGTTGTATATTAGAATTCATAAATTAGGAACTTTTTTAAGACTAGATAAAAGAACCCCTTTCGGTCCCTTTAGGAAACCATCAAATGCATTTAAAATAAGCCAGTGGTCACCTTTTAAACCATTAGCATCCTTTACACTGTGATACCGACCCATTTAAAAAGCCACAACACAATACAAAACCATCACTCAGCGGTTTCTGTGGGTTTTTAAGCAGGGTTGTGTTTTGGATGCTGGTCAGCAGCAATGGAAGTTGATAAGCTGATCACCACCAAAACCAGCATATCGCTGTTGTCGGAACAAAACCTTGTATCTCCAAAATGGTAACGTTACAAGAGAAGGAAAAAACATTCTTTACTTTTAATGGAAGTCAATGGAACCAGACAGTCATTTTGGGCTGTTCTTTTATTCCATTCATCATGAAATTCACACACAATGTAAAGGGTAACAGGCATTTTCAAATTATGCCAAAAACTGAAAAATGACAAAGAGATGGAGATACGAGGTTTTCTTCCGACAGCAGCGATGTGTTGTGTTTTGAAGCTTGTATGCTGGTCAACCATAGACCAGCTGAGACCAGCATGAAATGCTTGCTGTTGCTTTTTTAGCAGTGTTGGCTGATTGACTAGATGTATGGTGGGGGTTAAGGGGGGCTGTGAAAGACTTTGATTCCGACTGCCCTTACTTACTCTTCTGAAACAGTTCACAGTCGCTACTTGAGCCATTAATTACTCTCGCTGTTAGCCGTACTGCGCGCTCCGCGGTGTGCCACAGCTTTGAGGGCTTTTTTTGGAAAAGAACAGATCGTGAGTGCAATGCAACAGCCTCATTATTGGCCCATTTATTCCAATTGTGCTTCCGCGAGCAGCGTGGCTGATTTCTCATCCTGCGCCGAGCTCTTCCGTCTACTCGTTGATGATATACTTTTCATTAGCTCTTGCCACCGTGTGCATTCGTTCCCCCTAATGCAATAAAGAAAGTTGTTTTCTTGTGTGCGTGGAGGCAGGCGCTTCTTCATATTTTCTCCCAATAAAGTGAAAACTCTCCCTCCGACCACCATCACCACCCCCCCCTCCTCGACCGATCTCATTTGAGGTTTCGGCGGATTAAATAAAAAGCCTCTGAACATTTCTCATTAAAGCTGGGAAGGGAATTTAATAACTTCAAATTAAGTGCGTCTAAAGGCAGACGCTGGAGAGATGGCGGGGCTGTTGAGGGGGGTGTTTTGCGGGTACAGCTGCTTTTAGTGGCCCACAGTTCAGTTTGCCTGTATTATTTTGATTCTATATTGGCATTTAGTGTGGATGTAGACCCCTGTGATGGCGGCAAAGCCTTAAGATTTTGCGTTAATTACAGCAGCGAGTTTGATTTTAGCTCTGCTGATTAACCTTGATTGGTGGCAGAGCGCTGGCTTTGTGCGATTTTCCTCAAGTCATTTTTCACATTGCTGCAGTCATATTGCTTTCTGCTCCGAATGGAAGGTGAACTAAGATATTACAGCGTACGGTTTAGGATGGAGAAGTGCTTTGGTGCTTGGCTGGATTGAAGCCTTGGGTTTACATTTTCATTGATGCTTTGGTGATAAATAAAATAGAACGTATGTTTTCATTATAATCACATTCTTTTGTGTAGTTAACTGTGATTAATCACACTTTTTTATTATTATTTGCTTGAATTTGACACACTGCATGCTTTTATATCTATATGAAGTTTATATAAGCTTCGTCATAATTGATTTATTACTTTCAGTAATTTAGTAACATATTTCGTTGTGTAAATGCAGAAACAACTTTTCATTGCTGAGGTCTAGTGAGAGTAACAGTGTCTTTATTATATATATATATATATAATGATTATATATAAATATATAATATTTGTCGTTTATGGACCATACTAGAAAATATGTAAAAAAAACTGTTTAAAGCATAAGGATGCAGATCTTGCATATTTACAAGGATTATGTTATGATCTGTTTAAACCCATTTATACCAGGCATTTATAAAGATACTAATAAGGTAAACATACACAAAATCATCATTTATAGGGTGCTTTCTATTAGGAGGGGTCTGTCCCAAACCCTGACCTCACAATTTACATTGTGAACATAATACTTACATTTTTTGTATTTTTCATGTTTCTTTTAAAGTTCATTTCATTTTTAAATTAAATATAAAAACTTTATTTTAAAAATACTGTCTTATGTTTTAAATGTCACTATTGAAACACAAAAAGTTTCAGTCTGTAGGCGGAGCCACATCCCAAACCCTAACCTCTAAATTTACACTCATGAAAATAATACTTTTTTAAAATCTTTTTGATTTGATTTGATGATTTGATTTAGATGGCCATGAGCTTTTTTTAATTATTTTTTTATCTCCCCAAAAAAATGCTCTCAAATATTTGTGTCACTACTGAAACACAATGTGTTTAATCTGTAGGTGGAGCCTTATTTTAGCCCCTGCATTTTAAAGCAGGAAGTGAGGCTGCATCCCTGTTGTGGGAATGAGATCCCAATGCATGGCCACAACTTAGCCTTAGACTTTGACTTACTTACTAATTATCTCATTCCCACACCTTACTAAGTTGTTGCCATGCATTAGGATCTCGTTTCCATGCATTACTAAGGTGTGGCCACATTTTTTTTTTATTTATATGGGACGTCACCAGCAGGGCTCTGTAGTTCTGTGCAGAAGTGTCATGAATTATGTACCACAACTTAGTAAGGCACGGGAATGTGATCCTAATGTGTGGCCACAACTTAGTAAGGCACGGGAATGTGATCCTAATGTGTGGCCACAACTGAGTAAGGCACGGGAATAGATCCTAATGAGTGGCCACAACTTAGTAAGGCACAGGAATGAGATCCTAATGCGTGGCCGCAACTTAGTAAGGCACGGGAATGAGATCCTAATGTGTGGCCACAACTTAGTAAGGCACGGGAATGAGATCATAATGCGTGGCCGCAACTTAGTAAGGCACGGGAATGAGATCCTAATGTGTGGCCACAACTTAGTAAGGCACGGGAATGAGATCATAATGCGTGGCCACAACTTAGTAAGGCACGGGAATGAGATCCTAATGTGTGGCCACAACTTAGTAAGGCACGGGAATGAGATCATAATGCGTGGCCGCAACTTAGTAAGACACGGGAATGAGATCCTAATGTGTGGCCACAACTTAGTAAAGCACGGGAAAGAGATCCTAATGCATGGCCACAACTTAGTAAGGCACAGGAACGAGACAATTAAGTCACGGGCACAACTTAGTAAAGTATGGGAATGAGATCCTAATGTGTGGCCACAACTTATTAAGGCATTATCTTGTTCCCGTGCCTTACTAAGTTGTGGCCATGACTTAATTGTCTCATTCCCACGCCTTACTAAGTTGTTATCATGCTTTAGGATCTCGTTTCCACGTGTTAATAAGTCGTGGCCACGCGTTGTTTTTATTCATATGGGACGTCACCAGCGGGGCTCTGTAGTTCTGTGCATAAGTGTCATTGATTATGTACCATGTAGCTTAAATGTCATTTAAATCTGTTCTTGTTTCTGTTCATATTGATGAATATTGGCTGCTGTCTTTAATGATTGTGAAGAATATTCAGGTCTGTCTATGTCATGAGTTCTGATGATGTGTATTGTGTTTCCAGGTGGTCTGCGAGGGGCTACGATAGTGGACTCCCTGGATACGCTGTACATCATGGGCCTGACGGAGGACTATCAGGAAGCTAAAGAGTGGGTGCACAACAACCTGGATCTGAACTCGGTAAGAGCCCAAAACACCACTAAACATCTGTGATCCTCCAGCATTTCTTCTGAAACCAAGTGAGTTCACACTAGATTGCTGTGAGGATTTGATTGAGCATTAGTGAGGTCAGGAACTGATGTTGGATGATCAGTTCTGGATCACTCTAACTCATTCCAAAGGTGTTGGATGGAGCTCCATCACTCCAGAGAACACAGTTCCACTGCTGTTCCAATGCTGGGGGGCTTTAGCCCACAATTGGCATTGGGCATGGTGACCTTAGGCTCATGTGCAACTGCTCCAGAGTGTCCCATTCTATTGGTCAGTGCTTTTCTATGGATATTTAAGCTGTGTCAACAATGAATGCACCTTAAAGCAGCTGAATTCACTCATTAAAAGGGCTGTCCGGATACTTTTGGAGTATAAATATATTATACTGTTTCGTATAGAAAACAATAACAATAATACGGCTCATCCATACTGTTTTGTTTGCCTCTTAGCGAAGTGATTAATGCCATGTTTGAATGGACTCACCAGCTCACGATATTGTCAGACTTAATAGGTATCCAAATAAACAGATAATGAAATAAAGACCCAGAGTTCAGATAAACAGCGCTGAGGCTCCGCCGGGCTTATCAGCTCTGACCTCTCCGGCTCTAAAGTCCCGTCCCTCTCCAGGGTGCTCCAGTCTCCGCTAGAATAAATTGTTTCCTCCGGCTAATGTTTGGTCTGGGGAGCTGGGGGCCGAATTCGCCCAAATCAAACACTCGCGCCTCACCGAAAGGCCATCCGGAGCGGCTACTGAGGCAGGCCAGCCGTGCTTTGTCTCAGCCTTTCTCTGGACCCTTCAGGAAGCTCTGTGTGGCACAGCATTTAATGAATGAGAAGGAGAGAGAGAGAAAGAGAGGGGAGGAGAGAGAGAGATTGAAAGAGGAATACGGAGGGCGCAGCCTCTTCTGAGGCTAATCCTGTGATAATGGACTTTTTCAGAGCAACAGAGTACATTGAAGTCTGGACGAGAGAGAGAGAGAGAGGGAGAGAGAGACAGAGAGAGAGAGAGAGAGAGAGAGAGAGACTTTATTTGAGTACCTTGTACATCCACTCATTGGCCACTTTATTAGAAACACCCACCTTGTACTTCTACTAACTGGCCACTTTAATAGAAAGACCCACCTTGTACTTCCAATCACTGGCCACTTTATCAGAAACACCTATCTTGTACTTCCACTCACTGGCCACTTTAATAGAAACACCCACCTTGTACTTCTACTAACTGGCCACTTTATCAGAAACACCTACCTTGTACTTCCACTGACTGGCCACTTTAATAGAAACACCTACCCTGTATTTTCACTAACTGGCCACTTTATTGGAAACACCCACCTAATTAGATGGATATGGCAGGCGTGTGATGAAAGTCCTGCAGCATCAGCAGCCCCTCTCTCTCTCTCTCTCTCTCTCTCTCTCTCTCTCTCTCTCCCTCTCTCTCTCTCTCTCTCTCTCGCTCTCTCTCTCTGTGGTATTGATTTGAAAAGCTGCAGATTTTGTAGTAGAGGAGAAGGAGAGGAGACATAAACTCCGGCTCTCTGCCTCCTGCTCATCAGTGCCTGTCATAAAGACGCACGGCCCAGGATCTACACCGCTGCGCGCACTTTGTCAAAAACGACGCCACTCCATCCATCTCTCATCCTTTCTCTCCTCCCTTCGCTCGCCCCACCCATCAGTCTCCCTCTGCACTCCTTCGATCAGACTCTCCCTAGGGTCCTGTCTGACCTTAAACCAGCAGTCTGTCCACTGATGGACAGTCAGAGTCTCCGCTGCTGCAGTCGACTCTCCAGCCGGCTAAATCGATGCCGCTCTGGAGCTGTTTGCCAAGTTAGCTTTGATACACTCGGCCCTCTTTACAGCTGCCGTTAACGTCCGTCCAGGGTGATCCGATCTTGAGTGGACAGCGATAAGCGCAGATGTGGATGGGGTCCAGTGTGTGGAGGCTGTGATCTGGTCACTCAAACCACCTTCGGATGTGCATTTGTAGTGTGAATGCTGAGGCGTCCCAGTGCATCTCCAATAAAAAACAAAGGGCCACCGAATCCAGTGGTTTTCAGGCTGTGAAGTGTGATTTGGGCTGTGTTCAAAATATCAATACAGCAAAATATTGCGGATGAACTTGTGCGTATCAATGCAGTGATCACTGTCTCAATATTTATCAATTTACTTTTACACAGCGCTTTAATGCTCACATGAAGCTAATGCTGCATTTGTTTGTTGCAGAGAACAAAGTTTGATAGCTCTTTAAGGGATATCTAGTAAAGGTAATGGTTTTATTTGGATCCATGAGTTCTATGTAGAACCATTTTGTGCCTTGCATGGTGAAATGGTTCTTCAGGTTGAAGTGTTGTATATGGTTCTATATAGAAGCTTTGTGAAAATAAGCTTCAGACATCAGAACTATTTTCAGAAAGGTTCTACATTAAAGGCATAAGCCACAAGAGGCAGTGTGTTACTGAGATTTTATCACAGGTAAGGGTGTTATTAGGCACTTTCTGCGAAAAAAGGTGCAGTAACGCACAGCCTCAAGTGGCATATTGCTTTTATAAAACGGGGGCCCACATAAAATATAATATACGACTTTTCAGAAAATAATTTATTATTAATAATAATCATCGTAAAACAAGTATTCCTCCAAGAAATGTAGTTCCTTTAGAGTTTGATATCGTTGCCGAGCAGCCATGGACTGTTGAGCATGAGGAGAGCATTTGATCACCCATTGCTGAATACTGCAGTCATTTCATGATCTTTTAAATTTTTTTTGTCACATAATAATGAACATATAGCTGAGAAATAGTCATTTAGGATTCAGACACATCCATACTCGATAAATGATGCACTGTTTGGCTGTAGAGGCTAGAATTTGTAAACTTTCATAGCTATTTAGGGAGTACAGAGCCATTTGGGATTCAGCCTGGGTTTGACGCTACATCTGACTGAAACATTTGAAGCATGTAAAACAATCAAGTGACATTTTTAGTCTTTTATACTGCCGTTTTACAGTTAATCAAACTGTAAATACCCTAATTCAAGCCTGTGATATTAATGATGGAGGTGTTTAGGCTATTGGCTCTGTTAGCTAGCTGACCAGCCCAGTTCTAGTTCAGAAGATAAGTTATCAGCCCTTCAGTTTAAATAAAAAAAGGTCTTACTTCATCAATATATATGACCACCGAGTCTTATTTAGCATCAATACAGCGGCGCCCTCTCCTCACGCTGGGGCTGAATCTCAAACGGCTCCTTGCTCCCTACATTGTGCACTACATAGGAATGTAAATACTGGATCCTGCAGCCCAACAGAGCAAAATACAGCTGAGAAATAGTCATTTGGGACTCAGACACATCCATACAGCACAGTTATATAGCATTGAAATGATTGTGAAGCTGTTTTTTAAGGTTAAATTGTTACATACTGCTGCTTTAAGCTTTAATCATGGATGATATCTGATTACGTCACCCTATCGCCAGGCCTTGACGCGATGCAGTGCTACATTTGAACGCTCATTTGCTGTTAGGACACGGTGTAAGCCTTGCTAATGCACCCCCCCCACCATGTGATCCAGGTTAAGCCGCTCTTTGGCTAGTTGGCTAGCACTGTACGTCCAGAGTGTCGATGCTGAGAGTTAATTTATGCGGAGGAGTGACTTCTCTCCTCTTTTTCGTCTGGTAAAAGCAAACAGAGGAAAATCCCGATGGCTTTGTTGGCACTGCGGGGCAGCAGAATCAGAGTAATCTGATTAGTTCCGTTCACCATCTGAAGCGGCGCAGTCGCAATCAGGCGGTGTGAAGGGTAATTGTGGAGAATTCAGCTCACACAAAGGGGCATTTTCTTATTACTGTGGCTGATTAGATTGCCCTATTCTCACACTTACTTTTCCTGCTCTGTTTCTCCGTCACACACACAGAGTCGGGTAGCGCTAGCTCCGTGTGTGTGTGGCGGGGCTGTTGTTGAGGGCTGACAGTGTTGATTAGTGCTGATTAGTGGTTTGAGGTCAGACCCTGTCTCTGCTCCTCACCTCCTGCTCGTTACTGCGATTGACACTTTGGTTAAGGTGTGTTAGCACCTCGCTGCACACGCCACAGAGTTAGCCTCGTCTGCGTCAGCGTCCGTTACTCTTTTAAAACACATCAAATGTGCAGTTTCACCTCTTACAGCAAATGTAGTCGGACATGTTTGGTGTGAAGTTTGCTTCTTTGGTCATAAACTGAAGCTATGAGGCTAAAGTAGCTAGCAGGTTCTCAAAGCTTAGCAATTAGCAATAAGCATATTTCCTTATTTCAGTCATTAAGATGTAAACAAAGTCATTTAGAGTGGTTCAGTGTGAAATGGTTCATTATAGAGACTCAGAATTGTTCACAGTGGTGGTGAAAGGAACCAGACGTCCACCTCTAAAAGCTCCCTCACAGAAAGTTATTATGAAATGGTTATCAGTACGCTGCCTGATTTCTGAGAGGCTGTTTTACGATGATTTTGAGATAAGATTTTGGTCTAAAATGTATTTTTGAGAAAGTATGTTCAAGGTGTTTTAAACTGAAGCTGTGAGGCTAATGTAGCTAGCAGGTTCTCAAAGCTTAGCAACTAACAATTAGCATCTCTCCTAAATTGAGTCATTAAGATGTAAACAAAGTTAATTGGAGTGGTTTGATATGAAATGGTTCATTATAGAGACTCGGACTTGTTCACAGTGGTGGTGATAGGAACCAGACAGCCACCTCTAAAAGCTCCCTTACAGAAAGTTATTATGAAATGGTTATCAATACGCTGCCTGATTTCTGAGAGGCTGTTTTACAATGATTTTGAGATAAGATTTTGGTCTAAAATGTATTTTTGAGAAATACGTTCAAGGTGGCGCAGTGGGTAGCGCTGTCGCCTCACAGCAAGAAGGGCCTGGGTTCGATTCCCGGCCGGGTGGCCAGGGTCGTTTCTGTGTGGAGTTTGCCTGTTCTCCCCGTGTCTGCGTGGGTTTCCTCCG